TAGTTTATTGTGGCACCAGGGCTCTCTGACAGAGAAGGCTAAATGTCTTACAAAACTTCAGTTCCCAAGATTCCCTAGCATTGAGCCAGGGCAGTTAAAGCAGTCTCAAACGGGATTGTTTTGGACCCTAGAGTTGGAAAGGACCCATAGGATATCCAGTCCTACCCTCATCTGCCATGCAGGAAGACACAAAGCACTCCCGACAGATGGCCATCTTGCCTTTGCTTAAAAACCTCCAAAGAAGGAGACTCCACCAACCTTTGAGGGAGTGTGTTTCACTTTAAGCAGAGGCTGGATGGCCATCTGTCAGGGATACTTTAATTCTGAATTCCTACATGGCAGAAGAGGGTTGGATTGGATGGCCCTTGTGGTCTCTTCCAACTCTATGATTCTATTATTCTAACTCTGGGAAAGATACAGACACCTTCTGCTTTCTCACAGAGGGGCTGTGTGGTTCCCCTAGTGCATGACAAAAGTGAGCCGGAGCATGTCATGGAAGTGAACCATTGCTCTCACGATCCTCGCTGTGTGGACCTTCAATGCACTTCTTGGTGCGCTCTCTCTTTGAAATGCCTGCTGACCTTGTAATTCTGTATTCCTCATTTGCAAACCTCTCCATTTGCAGAGGCTACTCAGGCAGGTTCAGAAAGCATCACTTCCTCAGGGTCAAGCGCATGCCCTGCTTCTTGGGAGAGCATGCATAATTCTATGCTCAGGCTGTGCAATGGCACCCAGAGTTTGTAAGGCGGGAGACCTTCACACAGCCCCTGTGACTTTCCTTTTTTTGTCTTTCGGTTGGGGCTCAGCCTCCTCTCCCCTTGGCTATGGTCAATGCAGACGGAAAGCCCAGGTGCCCTCCGGAAAGGTTCTGCCAACTGCGCTGACCCAGGAGGAGGATAATGGAGAGGAGGCAAACAGCACTTGTGTTGCAAAACCTTAGCACATCATGAAGATCAGCAGGGAGGCAGCTTGGGTCCTCTAAAAATATCAATGCTGGATTTAGAAAAGAAAAAAACAAAAACCCACACACAAACATTACTGCTCTTTTTACTATATTCTATTCATCGAC